AGATAGATAGATAGATAGATAGATAGATAGATATAGATAGTGAGTGAGTGAGTGAGTGAGTGAGTGAGTGAGTGAGTGAGTCATGAGGAGAAAAAGTAGTTCAATGCAAATGGAAAATTATGAACAAACAACAAATTTTCATTTGGTTGTCAGTGAAGATTCATAAGCCACCTGTTGCAAAGAGTGAATAAGGAAGCCACTGCCAGTAACTCTTACAAAGTCTTCATCCCACAAATTCATCCCACCCATTGAACTCAATCATTAGAACAGGAGAATGATAACTTCATCAAAGAACTGTTGCGTCTGTTATAAAAATTAGGCCCTTAAATTCCATTAATTCCTTAAGAAAATTAGTAGTAAAAATTGCAGCTCATTCCCAACTGATAGGGTGTATGTTAATATTCTATAATCCGTGCAAATGAAGGAAGAAATATGCAGGATTACAACTCTCACCCTCTGCAATTCCACAATGTGGCAGAATTAATGGGAATTATAATCTAACACAAGCCTTTTATAGAGAAAATACAAGGAGATTCCTGTACAGTATGTAATATTAAATCCGCCGAAGGGCTTAATATTAAAGAAGGCTGAGGCAAGAATTTGCATCCCAGCCATGCTTATGGTGCTTGGCTTAACCAGCCCTTCCTTTCCTATTTAATAACAAAACAAAACACGAAAGTAACGAAAAGGAAGAAATATAACCGTGATCATGACCCTAACTCTAAAAATAAATCAAAGAGAAGATAGATTTGCATATTGAGTAAACTCAGTGAGATGCAATTGTATCTTTCCTCCAGCTTGCAGCCGAAAAGCCAGAAAATGCTTCCCACTTTGATGAAGCAGCCTTTTGTTCAAGTCTGCTTCAAGTGATGCTGCATTTCAGCCAAATTGTATTTACTGAGAAAAAAAAAGAGGTTTATCATCCACAATAGGCGGCAAGGATTATATATTTCACACTTCAAATTAGCAAGCATGGTAGATATGACTTAACTCTGCAAGTCCCAAGTTCGTGTCTAAATAAACTAAATTTAGTTGTGTATTTATGAAAGTGAGTGCAGGAAGCTTTTTTTTTTTAAAAAAAAAAAGCTATTTCCGGTACACCAGGCTTCTGCCCACATAGATATAAGCAGTCAGGAACATCATGTACTGCGAGCAAAGCAAGAGGACCGATTCCTGCTCAAAAGCACGATCTTGTTCACAAATGTGCTGTTGGAGAATTTCTCACACAGTAAAGATGTAAATTGACAAAGCTGCTAACCGGGGATTGGGAGCAAATGAAGAATCCTTTCTGGACAAAACGGGGGCCCCTGTTAATCTGTTGTCTGTTAAAATAGACTCATATACAAGATAGGGTTACAACAGGAATCATTCACTTAATGAAAAAGATGTATCTTTACCATACAATGGACCATATAATGGAACTAAGCCATTTAGAGCAGGGGTCACCAACCTTTCGGACCTCAGGGACCACTAAATTCATAATTTTAAATCCTGTGGACCACTAATATGAATTTTTAAAAAAGGTAAATAGTATTTCGTGCAATATAAAAAATGCCAGGGTTCCAAATAGCATCGAAAATTAAATCAGAGTTCAAGACAAAGTATTGCTCAAAGTTTCAATTTATGAAGAGAGCCATATTGGAACATCTGGGAAACCCTGAATCTGAAAGCTTCCCGGTTTTCTGCACCCACTTGAAAGTTCAAGATCTTGCCCCCACACCCACAAGTCCATTACATGGTCCAATCTTCCCCATCCAGTTCCGGTCAGGTGCAGAGGTGCAAAGACAAAGGATGACCTTGGCTTTCTAGAATGAATTTTGTTATGGCTACCTAGCATCTAATTACGTACAATCCCCTCTCCCATTTTCCCACCATAGAAAATGCATAATAGAATAATAGAAAGTGTGGCAGGCCAAAGATCCAAAAGAAAAGTCGGCTGCAGGCCTGACAAAAAATGCAAATATTTTTTCTTGCGGACCACCGGTTGGTGACCACTGATTTAGAGGTTTAAAGGGCAGTGTATCAACATCGTAACTTTTCCCAAAGGTGCTTTTTTCCAAGGAAAGCTTCTTGGATGAGAAGCAAAATGTCAACCCTGAAGCAAACTAGGCTGGAGCCATCTTTTGAACCCTCAGAGTCGCCATGACCTTGCAGAGGAGAGAGGGGGGTGGTGGTGGTGGAAATAACAGCCTACCTAGTAGTCAAAACAAAAAAGCATTCTCGTGGGAACCAAGGTCCCATCCACAGGGGGCAGTTGAAGGAGGTGGAAAGTTGACCAAGGAGGCCGCCTAACATC